GGCACCCTCCTCACCGAGGGGCGCCGCTCCGAGCCCCCCTGTTCCACCCGCGGGCAGGTACCGGGAGGGCGGCTCCCGCCCCTGACCCACTAACACACCTCCCAGCCAACATGGCCGCCCCGCCAGCCACCGCGGAGCGCAGCCTAGCCCGGCCACCGCCGCGCCGCCCCGCCCTCCCCGCCCGCTCAGTGGCTCGCTCCCCAGCCACGCACGCTCCCATTCGCCGCCGCCCCCGCCGCTCACCCGCCCAGCGGCCCTTTCAAGCTAGGGTGAGGCGACATGTAAACAAACCCCCTTCCGCCGCGCTGGACCGGGCCGGCCGCGGGACCCCCTCCGCCGAGCGCCCTCCCGCCTGCGGGGCACTGAGAACCCGCCCCGGCCTCCCCCCCAGGGTCCCCGCGCAGAGAGAAGGGAGCGGAGGGCTCCCCTGCCCCGCTGCCCCCGCGGCCTCCCCCCGCTGCCTGGGGAAGCCCCTTCTCAAGCGGCCGGGACTGCTGCCCGCAGGGGAAGCTCCGCACCCCCCGTCCCGGTCAGTTACATAAAAGTAGTGTCAGAGCGGGGAGAGTCCTTCCTCCGCTGTCCCGCCGCTCGCACCGGCCCGGGACCCCTCTCCGCCTCCTCCCTACGGACCGGGGCAGTCCCGCTGGACACCAACGCGCCTCAGGCAGGGAACTCCCCGTTCCCACCGACCATCCCCCGAGCACTCGAACAGGTCGAAAGCGAAGGAGGGGATTCCGAGCCTGAAAAGCAACAGAGCACGGAACAGCCGAGCCCTTCTGCACCCGGCACCGTGTGCCCGGGCAGCCGAGCCGCCCCTCCACCCGCACAGCCAGCGCGACCGGTCTCCCCAGCGCTTTCGTTTCCCTGGCGCTGGTTGCGAGAGTCACTTTTCCTTGTGGAGGCACGGGCCGCTCCCTACGGACGGAGGTTGGAAGGGACACCGACAGCTCCCTGCGGAACCCGCGTCCCCCCGTAGCCCCTCACCGCGCCCTTAAGCCACATCAGTGCTGTCCCCCCGGGCGCGCCACCTCAAGCTCCGTGAGCCGGACACCCCCCGCGCACCACTGTTCTCCCGCAGCACCAGCTGCCACACCCCCCAGCGCAGCCGAGCGGTGGGAACCGGGCACCATCCCCGCCACCTGCCCCGGGGCGAGCCGCAGCCGGGCTGACCCGCCCCTCCGCGCACCCTGCAGCCCCCTGCCCGGCGCGCACCCGCTAACACCGCCTCCCCCCCGCCGGGACGCCCCTCGGCCGCCTCCCCCCGCCGCGGGGCATTGGGCCGGCAGCCGCGTCCTCGCTGCGCCCCGCAGCACCCCCCTCCCGCCAGGCCGCGGCCGCCCCCCTTGTCCCGCACTCACCGCGCGGCCGGGGCTCAGCAGGGGGCGCCGCCCCGCGCGCTCGGGCCCGGACCCTCCATGCGGCTGCGGGTTTGTTTTGTTTATGTCCCTTCCTGACGGGTTCCCGGAAATCGCGTGACTCGCCCCCCTCACGTGGGGAGGGAAGGCGGGGCGGGAGGAGGCCGACACAGCCAATCGCCGCCTGCCGCCACGACGGGGGAGGAAAGGGGGGGAGCCACCCCCTCGTCACGTGACGGCGGAGAGCCGCGCGGGGGGGTATTTAAGGAAGGGTCCGTGCGGCCGGGTCTGTGTCCCTCGTGTGGCCGCGGCTTTGTCCTGTCCCTGCCCTCTGCTGCCATACAGCCCTATATCCGCACACGGATAGGGGCCTGGTCCCCAGCCGTGCCCGTCATACCAGCTGTAAAGAGCATTTAACTCCTGTAATAACCAGATTGCGTTCCATGGCTGGCAAGACAAAATACAAACCAACGTTTGTTTTGCCCCAGAGTTGGTAATACGTGGTTCTGGAAGCAGCAGCATCCCAGCTCTGACAGCTAACTTAAAGCCCTCGTACAAGCAAAGCGCTTCCACAATTTACAGCAGATGAAACCTCAAACTTCCATACACATTTCAGAGCAATATCCCAGGAGGGGCACAACCACAGACATTTGAGTTTCCGAAACAATATTAATGCATCAAAAGTATTTGAAATGTCTCCAACCTGAACACGTGCTCTACCTGCTGCTGCTATTTAGGAGTTCAAGTCTTCATGACTTGATAGAGTCAGTTTCTTCAATCTTCCTTCCCCCAAAGTATCAACACACGGATGAGATCAGACTGACCAGGGCAGACCCGGCTTTCTACCTATGTCAAGCACCAGCAAATTTCCTTCTCATGTACCTTAACACTTTGTGTTCTGTTCTTGCAGGAACAAGAAGAAACTGTTACCAGCTTGGATACCTGCAGTGTTAAACACCAGTGTGTCTCCTCTGATTTCTTGCAGTCGTGCAAAAAAAAACGGTACCTGAACAACACATCTTTTCAACTTCTTAAATCAGGCTACTACCTGGTATCTGTCCCAGAGAAAATATTAACCAGTTGGATAGAGGGAAGTGTCCTTAGCTGGAAAACACCGAAAGACTGAACTATGGCTTGTTGGCTCAAGCGTTGAATAGCTCTTGACATTAAATTCACCCACTGTGATGAGCACCACATCATCTCTGTTTCACTTCTGTATCTTCTACAAGTGATCCCTTAAAACCTGAAACAGAAAGGTTGTTACAAAAAGTGGTAACACCAATAGGGCTGTTTGTCACAGCACAGTTTCTTTCCTGGTGTCTCGCTTCAGGGTAGAAGTCAGGCAGATCAATATATTTTAAAAACTGTTACATACCCAAAATTGTCAACAATGTCTTGAAGCATTTCTTCCTCCTCCCATGAGGTCAACATATGTTATCCACGTGCTTCAGAAACACCAACCAGCCACCACTTAAGCTTTTACAAGATCATTTGGTTTCCAACTTCTGTGGAACTATATGCCAGACTATAGAGCAACTTCTCACATGTTAAAGTACGGCTCTCGGTAGTAGGTAACTTGAGGAAAACCCCACTATTCCAGGCCCTGCAGTTGCTTTGCTGATTTGTATCATAATGGACATGTCTGTACTTATTCTGCAATTCATTCTGTCCGTTTTTCAACCACTGCAAGTTACAGTATTCTGTCAGGATGTTGGCATTTCCTGTACAGTAACACAAGTATTATCCCACTGAACAACTCAACAGAGCTATCCAAAAGTTAAAAAAAAAGAACCATTCCATCTTGTACATAAGAACAGAACACAGTAAGGAATAATTGCAGTTTATCTGGCCATGATGTAAGGAGGCAAGAAGTACACATGAAGACTCTTGTGATGCAGCAGTATTTACATACTGTGAAGTGATTCCTTAGCACACAACTTGCTAGATTCATCCCAGCCCCAGAGACTCAGCTAGCATCGAGGGGCCCCATCAATCTTTCATCTCTGGCCTCCATTGCCATGTGCTTTATCAGGCCTGCAATTTCATGTGCAAGTGTCAACCAAGTATAAAACAATTATGTTTGCTGTTGAATTCAAACTGCTTGTTGCTATATGTATCCTACAAAAAAGGCCAGGGAGTAAATCAATCTCCTATCAAAATTACTATTCATACTTCATCGAAACTAGTCACATTATCTCTGCTACTGAGTCCCCCCAGTATCGATCAATGGGAAGTACATGGAGAAGAGGCTTGAGCTAAGTAAGCATTCAATTCTACCTGCAGACCCTCCAGCAAGTTTAAATTGCTGACTTAGTCCTATTTTAGAACTACCTGAGAGGTCTTGATACAGACAGCAAAAGCATCCTCATCTCATCACACGACATGCATTTATTACAGTTTATCCACATCATCTAAAGTTTCCTCAGCTCAACTTTGGCTAGCTATTGTCTGATTAAATCCGCTAAAATGTACATCATAACAGTTAAACATGGCACAAGAACGTTATGTATAAAGCAGAGATTAGTTTTATTTCCAGGCATGAGAAACTTCAGGCCAAATTTCCCAAGAATACAATTCATTTAAAAGAAGAAATGCCATCAACATGTGGCACCACTGTTCGTCTTCTCCTCATACAGTTTATTGCAGATATTTTACCCATCGCAACCAAACAGAACAGGGGCGAACAGCACAGCAATAGACAACCTAAGGCTTGTAACATATATACAGTCTTCCTGTAGAGTGAGAAAAATGAACAGGAAAGCTATTACCCATAAAAACCTCAGACATTTTCATCACATGTGAAGTTAACAGACAAAAATTTACAGCACCAAAGAGGAGTATAAACTGCATTAGGCACACTGTTAAAAGTACAGTAGGAAAAAATACAGGGCTTTGAACAAGCCATTTGAAGCACAATAGAAAGGTTAAGGCATTAATGCAGGCTTGGTATCCAACCGACTATGTTAAGGAAATCTTTGGGCAGTGGAGTGCTGCATACGGAGAAAATCTCTTCTTTACCTGCAAAGCAAGAGGCAACTTCCATTATTGCTTTCCATGGAGACTGCTGACCAATTGAAGACCTGGTTGGTAGCCACAACAATTTCCATTCCACAAACACACTGAGAAATAGTGAAGAACTGTAGATAATTCACCTGTATGGACCTTCTAGAATAATACCTACTTTCTTGCTTTCTTAGCAGTTTCATTCCTTAAGGTAGTGCAAGTTGTTACAGTCACATAGCAAGCTGCAGAACAACTATTTCCTAGAAAGTTTTCAGTGCTGTAGCAGCATCCAGTCATCTGGATCATACCTCCTGCACTTAATAGCATGAAGAAAGTTCCTGGTCTGAGAATACAGATTAAATCTACAAATCTGCAGACAAAAGGTGGCGTTGGGTCACACTGCTTAGAAGAGGCTACAGCCCACATAAGAACATGCAGACTTCTGTAGCTGTGGTTATGTACTGCCATTAACTTGATTATGCATACATGTCATCTGATACATCATCATCACTTGGAGGGATATTGACCTAAAAGAAAGGCCGATCTTCTGTAATATGGCACAGCTCGATCAAGCCAATGTCTGTAGAAGCTCCTCACTAGAATGCTTTCTGTGTGCATTTTCAGCCTGTTCTGTTGGTCAAGCAAAATAGGTGCTAGAAAAACACTTATTAAAAGCCAAAAATAATTGACCAAATATGTAACAGTAGCTATATTTATGGGATTCCATGCAGTGTCAGATGGAGTCTAATTCACAGCACCTGTCTAGTGACAAACTCAACTGGAGGTTCTGAGTGCAGAGGTACACAACAGCACAAGACAGGACGCTGCAGTCTGATCAAGGCAGCCACATCCTTGCTGCTCAGCTCTCTCAACACGAGTAATTCAAACAAGATCATGGAGAATGGTATGTCCTGAAGCAGCACATTTCTAGCAAGAAAACATAACATTTAACTAGGATATTTGAAGACTATTATAGGCTTTTATTTTTTAAAATCATTCTCTTTCAAGATGACGAGAACTTTCATTTTATTTCAAAATTAAGGCAATGAAATCAGACAGATCGAAGGTTAAACCAATCTGCCTCACAGAACACAACAGCATGTGCTATATAGGCCTCAAATTCTTCACTAATAAGTTAAAAAATGACAGCTCCTCACATAAACTTACTGGCCATCCCACATTAGCTCCCTCTCTTCCTCAGTATATATCTACCTTCAGCTCTCTGGAAAATTCTTTACTGAAAGGAAGAGGGAAAACCTGATTCTTTCATCAGGCAGCTGGAATCCACGACTTGTATCTCATCTCCAGTTTCACCTTGCTGCTTGCAACACACAGATCACTTCAGATCCCAGGCAACTGAATTATCCTACAGGATTCGGAGATCTGTTGTCCATTACCAGAATACACTGGTCTCTGTTTTAGCTAGCTCATGATATGTTAACACATGAGCAGTGAAAATGTACCCAGGAAATTCAGGTTGTCTGACTTGGCTAATTACAGGCCTCGAAGCAGGGCTGTCTACCTTTAGCTTCTGCTTGCTGCTTAGAAGAGAAGATATAGACACATACACATGCCAGTTTGACAACACCACAATTCAGATGAAGCCTGCTTTGCAGCAGTGTAGCTTTGCTTCAGGGTAAATGTTCAGGATGCTTTACAGACAGCATTTAGCTGAGCTGTAACATCAACTGTCATCTGTCTGCTACTATTGGACTTTTGTAAACAGAAGTAGTAACAGCAAAGGGGTAGACAGTTAAACATAAGAGGACAGAAAACCCTACGCCAAACAGGGAAAAAACTAAGCACATCTAAGTTATTCAGTTACCAGCATAAGAACTAAAATCACAGGTACTTGTTTCCACAGTTATCCTTCATTTGAACCTTCAACTCCAAATGCTTCTGTTCCAAAGAAACCCAAAGTCATCATGGTACTTGTAGTACAAGACTCTGTATTTACTGCAGATCAAGTCAGAAAGCATGCCCAGGAACTGCAACAGCAGCATTCCAATAGCACTACATAGAGAGCAACAACCAGGCTTGTCTATGATTAAAGTTACACACAGGCTATTATTAAAAAACAAACAAACCCCAAAGCAACATTCATCTGTAAGCTCAGTGTTAGTGCTGTAGTTTGTAGGAGAGAAGAACCATTCTAACTACAGTTCTCACTCTGATTTCCCAGATGAATGAAGGCAACTCTACATTGCCTTGGAAATCAGGCCAGGTCTCGGTGAAATGGTCATAAGCTTAAAGAGAGGTTTAACAATGGTTAAAGTTTAGGAAATGCACTTACGCCAGCTAGTAAAAGACACCCCAGCCTGATTTTCTTTTTGTTGGTAGAAGAAACATTCTGTTCTCTTTACAAACCCCTGCTTGCTGAACACAGCACCACATGACATGATAGCAGAGAAAAGTAATTGGACAAGAATTCAGACCAAGCTTTTCATGGTATCCCTTCAAGATTAACATCCAAAAGATGTTTTGTTGCAGACTATATAAAGGTGGACTTCTCCTGCAAACCAGCTAGCAATTCTGAACACACTGCCTATAACTACTACTCCATTTCTCCTGAAGCTTTAATGTACCAAAAATATTAATCTGATCATACTCACCTAGTCAACAGATTTCAGCATAGGACAGACATCCTTAAGGCCAGTGGTATTTAAGGTACCAGATTGTTTCATTGCTTAACTGTGGCCCAAAGAGAGGGTTGAGTTGAGCCAGAATCGCAATCAGCCAACTGCAAGACAACCCCCCCAACCCAAAAGAGAGAACATCAGCCAAATCACAAAGCTTACAATAACGGAAAAGCTTGTCCAAAGCACAAGTACTATCAGAGACAAAAAGACTATTTTCAGGAAGGTCTAGTATCAAATCAAGATTTCATTCAAGCTCAAACATAAAGGCGAGGTACCAGCAATGAAGGGGTGGCACCAAATCATTTTGCAACTGAAAGAGGTTGGCCTGTTCAATTTAAAACAACACAAAACCAGCTGACAGCATCTCTCTCATCCTTTTTTTGTTTGACAAGTGTTTTGAGACATCTAAAACTCAGATATCTGTGGGCTCAGAATACAGAAACATAAGAGAGAGAGAGCCCGTTTCTCAGTGCCTTTGAGGCACCCTTGAAACAAAAAACATTTCATAAACATTCTCTCTCATTTACTCTTATATTCACAACGTATGAAAATCTACCCTTGCAGAAGCAGTATATTTTTCATCAGAGATTGAACAAATGTGAATTTAAACCTGGAATAGAGGTCAAGAAACAGGGACCTGATGCAAAAGGGTGCAATGCTACAGGAACACACAAACAAATCCACAACAAGAAAACCAATATGACAACACTGCCAAATCATCAGCAACAGCAGCCTTGTCACCAGAGCAGTTCGCAAACTAATACTGCAGAAGCCATAGCCAGAACAGAGAACAAGAGGAATGTAGTCTGTGGAAAATATCCAGGAAAACTAAACAGAAATAAATATTCCACTGTTAAAATATATATTTGCTTTGTAAATATTACAGGATTCAGAAAAAGCAATGGATGCTTCCATGGATTTAAATCTATGCTAAATACTAACTATATAAACACATTTAGCAAACACACAGGCTCATCTGTCTGCTATTTCTAGAATGCTTTGTAAGGAGGAGAAAAAGCAGAGCAGCTTTGTAACGAGAGCTGCCACAAATGTATCAGAGTGCTTAGGCAGTCATGGAAAATTCCACACAAACCTTGATGCTTTGACCAGCAGATGAAGCGCAGTTCGGCTGTAAAATGCCCAGGGCAGCCAGGGGCAAAAGACTTAAAGAAAACACCTCAATCCTCTTGCAATTTACAAATATTTAGTTCCAATGCTGCTTTCAGTTTTGCAGGGAGTAGGACTTGCTACAATGATATACTGAGCCTGCAGCCCTCTTACCAGTCCTGCAAGCCTTGAAATACACAGCAGGCTCTACAGAGCAATTAAATCATCAGCAAGACACCACCAGCAGTCAACCTAAAGGTTATTGGCATATTTCTACTTTGCTATCCAAAGCGATGACAGCAATGTCTTTTGAAAGCACCTTAATCATGATGTTGTATTTACTTAAGGGAAAAGTAAACTAGCTCTTAAAAATATCATGGCATTTATTTTGCAAGGGGGTTAATTTTCAGATACAAAAGACAGATAGAAGGGTGCCAGAGCACTGTACCATCTGCCTTTAGCATCCTGAACTAACAGAAGTGGGAGGAGGGTAGGAACACTAAAAGCCTGCTAAAGCACATTATTCTCTCACTGCATGGAAGGAAGGAACTCTATGTACAAATAATCCCACCTCTCTGCTTCCTAAGTTCAGCCCCAGCATGGCTGACAACTAAATGAGCTGGAAGCACATTGAAAACATTGATGTGTCCCAGCCGTATAACCATGCTGTAGGCAATCACTGTCCAGTTTTCAAAAGCTATTTTGGGGGCCATGCTGGATATCCAAGCTCTGAGCCACAGTAAAATTCCAGGTCAACAGTATATTCCTCCTTCCTGCTCTGCTAGGGCATAAAAATTCAAAACAGTAGTTATGCACTGAACTCTATGACTGCCTTGTATTCAAGGTAAGTAATGAAAAAGCTTTTGCTTAAGTGATTCTGCATTATACAATGCCCTATCATGACAATGAAAAACAAAACAAAACACAACATTCAAAGCAAAACAAAGCAAGACTCTACATCGAACGTGTAATGCTCTAGAGCTGCTAAAATCAAATACAGCATTCGAGCCACCCACAGGTCCTTAAATTCTACCAGATACCACTTACAACACTTAGTGTTAATTACCCAGCTCAGACAAGGAAATTGAAGTCCTTTATGCTCTACCAGGAAGATTGTTTAAAAGGTCTTTCTACCATAACTGCCATCTGTCTATGCTGCATATTACAAATTAAGGTCCTGCTATCTCTGTTTAAATGCCATTTTGGGCAACTGTACTTTAATCCTTTCAGAATCATCAGTAAATACCATTTTTCAAGCACCCTGTACTCTGCTAGGACATCACGGTTCTGTTTCAGGAACATGGTTCTGTTTCTGTTTTTGGAAACATCAAAATAGATTGAGACTTCGACAATATCTTAAAACATGGTGTAAGCTGTAATTTCCGCAGCAGTAACTCCTTATCCTTTGCCTTATATTTTATCAGGTTCCCGAGGCTCATGTATTCTCCTTCAAAAGGCTGCTGGGTACAATATATGTACACAAACAATGCACTTACATACGCAAATTTTTCCATAGGACAACCAAATTAACACCATGTGATCAATATGGTTATGCAGAATGATCACTGCTAAATCTAAACACAGAAGGAAGAGCTTTACATTGAAATTTGCTTGATTTTAAATTCAGTTAACACAAATTCAGTTTGATGCAAATCAATTTGTCAGACAAGTGTTGTTAAATGAAGACAGGAAATGCTTTTTCCTTATTTTTAACCAGAAAGGTAACTCAGAGCATGAAAGCAGATCTAGATAACAGCACCAGCCACCTACTAAGGACGCGCAAATAAAGCTGACCATATCTGGGACAACACAAGTAATTTTAACCCTAACATATCTAACACAGAATCCTCAGAAACCATTTTCAGGCTTCCTTCAAAACTAGTATGAAAAAATTGATCTCTCTCTTTAGTCATATGAAATAAGGTCTGAAAATTTTTCAATGCTTCCCCTGAAAGAGGAAAAGAATATGGGAAGAACAGACACTTGAATAAAGAAAGGTTAGACCAGATGATCTTTTGAGGTGCTTTCCAACCAGGGCTGTTCTGTGATTTTATACAGAATTCAGGGGAGGAAATAAAAAGTCTGCGATGAGGCAAATTCTACCTTGGAACACGAGAAGAAAAATCTGCTTTTTCTAGCAAACAGATACTATATATGTCATTTATGTGGTTGGGTGTAGCTACTGATGGTGTAGAACACTGTGTTGCTTCTCTTTTTCGAGGTGTAACTGGCAAAAGCCAAAGGGAATACAGAAAATGAGTCAGTGCTTACAAGATCACAAAAGAAACCTCTCACTGGACATGCAAGAACAGATTATAATTAATGTCAATGACACTAGATTTATCATAGGCTTGTACAAAAATCATTAAACTTAAAAGTGAAATACCACTGTACATTTGAAGAGTTCACAGCATTCAGTCAAGAAATTCTGCAACAAATACATTTCACATCATAATCCAGATTCTGCAGACGCCATGTGGCCTTGACTTCAAGGAAACTATCCTTCTTCAACAGTAAGGAAAACAAACCCTGAGCTCTGAGGATTTTTGAAGAATAGAGCATTATTTTTGTTAAAACGCAAAGTAGGGAGAACTTAAGTGAGAATTTTAACCAAAACAAACCCCAAAACCCTGAACTTCATATGCGGTCAAGGAGGCCTTCATAGCCCTGAGATTCTCAAATTCGAGCCCCAAATTCAAGCTGTTGGTACAACAAACCTCTTCAAGCTTCTACATCTGTTCAACAGTAGTTTTTTGAATTAAAAAAACTGCATAGATACAAAATACAGAACCAAACTGCTGTACTTCTAAATCAGCCAATAAAATGATGTAAGACTTCATGTGTCAAATACTCAGAGTAAAACAAAAAAGGCCTAAACTGTATAAAATCTTGAATATCACATTATTAATCTAAATCAAACCTGCATAAGCCTCTGGCACAAACTAACCCAACATGGAACCAAACAGGCCTCTCCTGGAACATACCAACACTGATAATATGGCTTTTAACTGCCAGTTCCTAAGAATGACTCTCGAGATTAGAGATGCATTTCTCTAAATATTCATGTTAAGCTCCTTAGAATAGCATAAATAACACCTAAATACTTCAGGAAAGTATAAATACCACTCAGGTTCAAAAGGAACTCTGAATAATGATTTTATTACAAGTTAGCCTTAAAGATCTAACCAGACTTCTTGTTATTTTTACTAATTCTGTTATAGAGAAGAGGCAGCCTGAAAATATACCATGCATTTAAACAGAAATGATCTTAATACAGCAAAGCACACAAGTCTGTCACAAAAATTGTCATATACAAAAGCCACACGTTTTTCCACCCTTTTTTCCACCTACCGGATTTTGAGAATATATTCAACCAAAGTAAAGCAAAAATCATCAGTAGGTTTAAATTAATATCACCTCATAAATAAGTGTAACTTATATAAAACAAAAAAGGCATAGAGTCGTCACCCTACTACGAATCAGAAAACTTGTGGAACTGACAAATTGCCATTACACCTGTGAGTGAACAAGCCAGCGAACTGGAAAGGAGCAACATCAGGTCAACACAGAACACAACAGTTACGTCAGACAACAATAAAAGGAATTCAGGTTTGTTTTCATATAGTATCTTCCTTCAGGAAAATGTTTTCTTCAGCATGCTGAAGGTCTTTAGAACTAAAAATTCCAAGACCTGTCAAAGAATACCATTGTTTCTACATCTGTGACACATTCGAAAAGCTGCTTCCTAAATGTTTTGAGGATATAAAAAAAGGAACTTTTGATTACATCAGAGGCAAGACATTACTTATACTTACAACAGGTAGCAGCAAACAGCACACGTCACCAGCATTGTGTTGATAACACTGCAAAAATGAAGAAGAGAAACATCTGATTAGGTGTCATGTTATGACTGACCACACGATAGACTGAAAAAAAAACCCCAGCAAACAAGAACAACTTCAACTTTGATCATGTGGAAGGTGACTCAACGCAAGTGTTCCAGCTTCTTCCAGCTGAATAATTTGCAGAGGCACAGCTAAGGCTCAGCAGAAGAGCTGACACAGTTCTGACAAACAGAAGTATACAGCTACATTTAACAAAAATCACCCCAAAGAGGAGCAAAATCTTATACATGCAGTGTCCTCACTCAATTTCACAGTCAATTCCACCAGCAAGTTAATAAACTATTGAAGCTAGATGTTGTAACGCTAACAGTAAGCAATAAACATGTTCTCCTTACAAAACTGCAAAATTCTCCTTACAGAAAATTTCAGTATAAAAATAAATATTTTAATTTTACATCATGAGCGAGGGGTTTGCAAACAGAACACAAAAAATCTGAACTACAAGATTTTCCTTTCTTGCTGAAAGGAAACTGTATCAGAAATCATTATTAAGCTGAAAAGAAGCAAGAACCAAGCAGCTCTTGAAACTGAAAATGATAAAATGACATTGTACACACATGACTTTGAAATGTGAGGAAAGGAAATGACATTTCCTAGCAGCAACTGATCTATGCAACTAATGGAACTTAGCAACAAAGTAGAAGAGTTTTGTTTATTTGGGCTTCTTCTAATTATAAAAAGGGGTTTCACTCTATGTATTTCCTCCCCCAAACCAAGGAACAAAACCTCATGCCAGGTTAGTTCCTTCTAACTCTTTTTTGACATGGGTAATCATTTAATATTTTTCATCTATCAACACACACCCACCTTATCCGCTTTAAAATGAACATTACAGAGCTAACATAGCCTTGGATTAAGCTCCAAACCCATCCTTTCCAGGGAGTCCGAGTCACTGTTTGGGAGCCTTAACCTGTGCAATGTGAATTCTTAGGTCAGCTAAAGTCTGCATTAACTTCTCTTGTTAGAAAAAGAACAACTGTATTCAGAAAGAGGCTTTTGGGGTTTTCTTTGCTGTTGTTCTGCTACATGCTATAGGACGTAGCAGTGCTCTGTATCACATTTGTTGAACAACCACATTTTGGTGTAACTATAGAACATCTGTTGGTGACCCACATGCTTTAAGGACATGCCTGGAAGACGTATTTCCGAGATATTTCTGAGGACAGGCAAGTTTTCAGGCACAAAACACCCTCCAGGTTTGACAGGGATGCATCAAATACCAGAGCTAAACAGAACTTGAGGAAAATTCCTCCAAGTTTAGACAAACAACTGAGAGAAAAGACAGTCGGTACCTGTGGAGTAGAGGGGATGTCAGAGAGAGGAAGAGAGGTTAAGAAGTCATTATCTCCTAGGGAAAAGAGAAAGACAAAAACTTGTCTACTTTTAATCTGAGCAGCTACGACCACCGTAGGAAAAACGTCTGTTTAGATGCCCTCGCTTTTGTCCTCAGGCCACCAACATACATTAAAACACACAAATATATACTACAGCGATTCTTTTTCACCCTCATCCAGTGCGAAACTGATGGTGAAGTAAGTTAGAGAAGGTCAAGTAAAGAAACTAAAAGGAAGTCATTGCTCAAACACCAACTTAACGTTAGACGGCCTCACCACAGGAGGCCGTGTATGCGGATGTTTACAGGGCTTGAGGGGAAAACTCAACACCGTAACGGATTACTAAGGCACGGAGACACCGCTCCTGGCTCCGGCCTTCCCCGCGGGCTGGAGCCCGCCTGGCACAGGCACCTGGGCCCGCCCGCCCTCCGCGCTGCGCCACCGACGGGGAGCCCGCAGGAACACTGCGGCAGGAGGCGGCGGCTCCGAGCCCGGCAGACACGGCGCTGCGGGGCTCCGCGGCGGCCGCCGGGCCTCGGCCGCGAGGAATAGGGGAACTCAGGCGAGCCGCAAGGCCGCTGCTGCCCGGGAGGCCCGCAAGGGCACGGCGCGCCTCCGCCAGGCCGCCGCCTCGGGGTGCGGGCTCGCCTCCGCCCGGGGACCTCCTCACACACACTGCCCGCTCGCCAAACCTGAGGGGAAGAGGCGGGCAGGAGATCGCTGAGCCCCTCAGCGCGACCCCGGCCTTCCCCCCAGTCACTCACCCTCGGTTAGGCCCCTTGGGTATGAGCCACGGCAGGACGCCTCCGACCACCCCCCAGAAAACGCTCATGACGATGATAGGCACCGTGAGGCCACCGTACGCCATGGCCAGGCCGGCGGCGGAGGGAAGCAGCTCGGTGCGACCAGGGGCGGCACCTCCCCACCCCTTCCTCACGGCCGGCCGCAGCACCCCGCCCCGCTGCCTGCGCCAATCAGCGCCCGCGACGTCACCGGAGCCCGGCGGGCGGTGCCGCACCTGGCGGCGCGACGGCGGTGTGGGAGCGGGCCTCGGCGGGCGGACCAACCCGGGCCCCGAGGAACGGAGCTGTCCGGGCAAGGGCGGAGCTCCTCCGGGGGCAAGCGCTGGCTTCGAGCTCATCGGTGACTGGGAAGGGAGAGATGCCTCCCGGCGGAGCGCCCGGTGCCGCGGGCAGGGCCCGGGAGGAGCAGCGGAGCCGAAGGACGTGTTCAGTTCACTGGCACAGGTGAAGAGAAACATCATTCAGGAGCGTGTGCGCTCGCATGGGCTGCGGGGGTACATAAAAGCTTTGAACAGGCATAAAAGAAGTGACGCTGAAAGGCTCAAGCAGCCTTCCGAGTTTCTGCCTATAAATGGCTTCAGAAATGCACGTGTGGCCCTGGGGCACAGCAAGGTCAGTGCGAGCTGCTGCGGCAAACTAAGCCGACGTCAAGGGCATCACCAGCAGAGATAAAGATGTCATTGTCCCACTCAGTGCTGGTCAGGCCACACCACAATACTGTGCTCAGGTTTGGTCCCCATTGTACAAAAAGTGTGCAGGCTGGAAGGGACCCAGAGAAGGGCCCTAAAGATGATCCGAGGACTGGGATGTGTGTGAGGAAAGCCTGAAAGCTGGGCTAGTTCAACCCTGAGAAAAGGCAGCTCAGGGGAGACCTCATCACCACCTTCGAGTATTTAAAAGGTGGCTACAAAGAAGACTGAGACTTCCTTTTTACACAGTCACATGGAAAAGATGAGGGCTAATGGCACAAGTTATTTCTGGGGAAATTACTGCTGAATAGAAGAGGAAACTTTCACAATGAGCACAGTCAGCCATGGAAATATTTCCCCAGAGAAGTGGTGGGTTCCTCACCACTGGACACTCTTTATGAATAAAGTCAGGGGGACAGGGTGCTGGGACACCTAGTCTAGGCTTTGTGTAGGAACCACATGATCCTTAAGGTCTCTTCCAACCTGGAATTCTGATTTTCCTCAATCCTCAGCATCCCTGTTTTCAAAGTAGTGTGATTCAGCAGGAGCTGGCTTGCTTTCCCTCTGTACCAGCAATTAAGAAGGCTATTCACTAAGCCAGTAAATCCACTTCGTTGCAGGGCAGTTTTCCCCTAGCTGTGGCAGCTCTCAATTATGTGTATAAAGTACTAAAAACATAATTTCCTCTTACAGGAAAGTGCATTCAAAACAGTGTTATCAGCAGCATTGAGCCTGCCTTCACTCCTACCCTTGTCAAACCAGGCAGCTCTGCTGCACAGCACTGGTGAGTTAAATCTCTGTCCTTCAGCTCCACCATTAATCCAAGAGCCCAAGACATCATACAGCAAATTCAGTGCTATGTCTGGCCACAGTGTGCCTCGTGAACCTCTAAAATGTCATCTCTAATATCAAACTCTTAAGACAGTTGAAAAACCCCACATAATTTAAGAGGATTACAGGAGATTAATGGAAAGAAATAGCTTACTTTAAATGCCTGGTAAAATATTCATTATATATGGTGCACAGAATGAACACATTCATTTAAAACCATGAACCCATCTAAGTAAGTGTTAAAGATCAGTGGAAGAGACAGAAGCACAATGGTCATGAGATGCATGTTTCAGAACTGTACTACTCTAACATTGGTTGAAACATTCCTTATGGAGAAAGAGTTTTTAGTTTCTTAAAAGGTTCTTGATTTAGTGGAAGTATTTTTTACACAGCCAACATCAAAACATGAGAATGAACATTTAAACACAAATCAGATACCATATAAAGACTTTCTAAAGAAGACACAATAGGTTTAAATTTTAGCAGTTCTTTAATGGTTTCAATAGGAAATAATCTATTCTTGCATCTTTTCGATCGTTTCTTCCTTGTATTTGCCCTTCTCCTTGCCAACCTGGCGGGATTTTGCTTTACGCTCCAAGATCTTTTTGCGATCTTTGTCCAGTTTTAGCCTGGTGATCACCACCTACAGAAAGGATAAAGAATTTAGTGTCACTTCAGTGTTGAAGCACAGCAACCTAACAGAGCTGTGGTAACACAGCATGGTCCCAGAAGGTCAGCCCTGGCACACAAGTGCTATTTCCACAGACCGTATCATTTGATCCAGGCAGGACTGAAGTGCTGAATTGCCTCTGTATGTCATGGAGTAGTTAGGGTTGGAAAGCACCTTAAGATCATCTAGTTCCAATGCCCCTGTCATGGGCAGGGGCACCTCACACTAAACCATGTCACTCAAGGCTTTGTCCAGCCTGGCCCAGAACACCACCAGGGATTGAGCATTCACAACTTCCTTGGGCAACCCATTCCAGTGCCTCACTACCCTAACAGGAAAGAACTTCTTCCTTATACCCAATCATACTGGAAGGCTGCTACAATGTCTCCATGCAGCCTTCTCTTCTCCAGGCTGAACAACCCCAACTTTCTCTGTCTGTCTTCATAGGGGAAGTGCTCCAGTCCCCTGATTATTCTCATGGCCCTCCTCCGGACTTGTTCCAACAGTTCCATGTCCTTTTTATGTTGAGGACACCAGAACTGTACACAATACTCTAAGTGAGGTCTCACGAGATCAGAGTAGAGGGGCAGGATTACCTCCTTCGACCTGCTGGTTATGCTCCTTTTGATGCAGCCCAGGATACAGTTGGCTTTCTGGGCTGTGAGCACAGACTGCCAGCTCACGTTAAGTTTCTCATTGACCAACACCCCCAAGTCCTTCTCCACAGGGCTGCTTTCAATCTTTTCTCTGCCCAACCTGTGGCTGTGCCTGGGATTGCTCTGATCCAGGTGTAGGACCTTGCACTTGGCACAGTTAAAACTTCATAAAGTTGGCATCTGCCCACCTCACAAGCGTGTATGTCACAACTGTCCCAGGTACACTGAGGGATCAGGGTCTGTGGACAGTTCCTTTTGATGCACAGCCAAATGCACTAACTGAAGAGCAGCCAGATTTCCATTAACTACATAATAAAATAATTCCTTCAAAGTAAATATCATTTCCATTATGCTGCTCAAGCATCCACCTGAAATGCAGTACAGTGGATCCCACCACCACAAAAGCAAGTAATGGACGACTATTTTAATTCCTTCATGTTTTAAATAGTATTATGTAAATTTCTGGAACACTGGAAAGCCATGCTGCTGTTGCTGGCTGTTAGCATCTCATCGCTGTACTGGCTGAACAGCCAATGCATCTGCCTGAACTACAGGCCACAGCAGAAGCCCATGCACCACAGTGACTCATGTAAAGACACAGATATGAGGTGGCCAGGCAACTATCAAACACTACTAACAACGACACATCAAAGATAAACTGCACGGACCATTTGTTACCACAGCCTCACTGGTTTTCTAACAAAGCCTAATTTTTTGATCTTCAGTGTTTCCTGTGCCCCCTCAAATTGCCAAAAATATAAATGTACTGATATTACTGAAAAGAGTAACTTAAAATCCAACTGACAACCAAATCTCAGAGAAACCTTATAGACTGCAGCAGGCCTGCACGTTCCTCAATTCCATTGTGCATGTAGGTATCTCATAATTGGTACGGATTCCTACCTCTTTACCTAAGAGAGATAAAAACTGTTCCTCCACCCCACTACATTCTTCTGTTCCTTTTGCATTAATAACCAGAATCTTTAAGGTCTGATTCCCAATGACAAACAACTTCACAGAAATAAAGGACCAGCACAGAAGTCCTTCACTGCTATTTATCACACAAGCAATATGCATACTGGCTCCACTGCAATGTCACCTTGTCCATCAAATGTTATTACTGCACACAAGCCATTATGTTGTTTTGGAATAACCCTGCTCTCCCTCTGCTGAACATAACCAACCATTTAGATCAGAAAACCTGTTACAACTGGATTTCTTCCACCAACACTTCAGTACGTGTCCCCACAAGGCAAGGCTGAAGCAGACTAATTTCACCAGCTTCAAACCAGGTTTTGGCTAGTTGTTCTATTTAATCTGAAATGTCTCCCTGTTATGATCCTAACAGGCTTTGACTGGTTTTCATGAACTCTAAACATGTTAAATGGTTTCAGGCTAAAACCAGATTCAGAACTTTGTTCTAAATAGCACACAAGCACATACCACAACTCTGAGCACCTATCTAAATATTTCTAACACCTCCTTAACCAGTGCAAATGCCATGTAGTAAAGACAAAAGATTGTTCTAAATGATCCATTTTGTGCCTTAAAAATACCAAGCTCTTCAAAGTATTCAGCAAGACTCTAAAGTCTTGTAGCATCATCTCCACCAAATGAGACCTAGAAACATGAAGGAGTTCTTGGTTTCAATTCCCTTCCCTACTATCATGACACCATTTTCCTTGTTTATTATCCCCCAGTGCTGGAGTATCCCCATCCATTACTTCACATGGCATGACAAGGTTCGACTCCTGCCAGCAGCAGCATCTTCCTTTGCCAGCAAGGTCTCCTCATGCATTTCATATCCCATGTCATGCACTGTACCTTGCTGGGATGAATCCCCACGTGGACAGTTGTGCCATTCGCCTTCTCTCGCTGAACACGTTCAATGTAGATGACGTATTTCTTCCTGTACACCTGGACCACCTTGCCAATCTGCTGTCCTTTGTAGTGTCCCCGCACAACCTGAGCACAACACAGGAAGCATCCCTTACACAATTACCGTATCTACTTATCCCAACAAAAAACCAAACTGCACAGGTTGAAATCCCAACTCTGCTCTTTGTATACACGTGCCACAAAACCATCAATTACTGGACAATTTCAGCAATTACTAAAATGGAAAAATATAATGTGCTCCTTGTATGTTCCTTGTCACTGATGTGACTTCAACAACCCAAGTCTATGATGCAAAACTTGTGGCACAGCTCCAGCAACAACGTGAATTTGCCCAGCCCTTCCCTTTCACACAGACTATATATGAAAACTAAACCAGCCAGAAGTTCACGTGTGCTGGTACAACTCAAAGACAGTGCACACACCTGGACTTCATCATCCTTCCTAATAGGCATAGAGCGGACATTGTATTTCTGCCGCAGCTCCTTGGAGAGAGGGGAGGACATTATTTTTCTCCGAATGTGAGAAGGGGCATTGAAGTGACGTTTGCGGTTCTTGCTGCGGTCTGAGGTCACAAATGGATTGAACTTCATTTTGGCTGCAGAAAGAAAACCAATAGTTTGACAACTTACATGCAGTGCTCTATCACCTACCCACACAAACTATGCTAGCACATAAAAAAAGCAATTTTAACTTTCTTAACTGATTTAAATCATACTCCCAATTAATACACCTTACAGAATGGGCTTCAAGCAAGGTTTAAACCTCTTCCTTGATCAACAGTGACCCTGTAGTTGACAAATGGGCTACACACGTGCACATCAGACCATTCTTCCTATTTCAAAGCTCGCTGTTCTCAGAAGGCACGACATCTGACTGACAAGTCTTAACTGTGCACTGTAGCATAGACCAGCTTCATTCATAGAGCAAACATGTATTTTGGACTCCAAGAAAGAGGGAACTCATACTGCTCAGGGATCTCCTATAAAAGCACACCATCAGACAGGTGCATACAACAGATCAGGAAATGCAGAACGCTTTTGGCTTTCTCCAAATCTTAACAACCTCACTACAAGACTGTCATGGTTAATTCATCCTGACTGACAAAAGCATGCCCATTAAGCGACACTTGTGCTTAACTCCACCTCCTGTGCAGGCTGGTCTGGGCTGTGCATCAAGCCAGGGCACGCCGCAAGCTGAAGACCACACTGAGCTGTATTAACCAAATAACCCATTGACAGAGAGCAGGCCAGGGCAGCGGGAGCTCTCTCCGGAGTCCGAGCCCCACGGGGCACCCCCGAAGGCAGCTCGGGGCAGGCCTGCAGCCATACTCCAGGGCCGGAATCTTACACCGGCTTACCCGCCGCCTCTGCCCGGGACACGCTCCCACCCTCAAGGCAGATCCGCCTCAGGGCCGGCGAGCCCCGGCTACCCCCGCTGCCCTCTCCGGGCAGGCAGCAGCGCCGAGCCGGGCCGCGTCCCCCAAAACCCCTGGCCCGCGGCCCTTCCCGTTTCCCCCGGACAGCCCCCGCAGCGCCGCAGCCACCGGGGCACAGCGCTGGGCCGCCCCGCGCAGGATGGCGGCGGATGCGGACAGGCCATACCCGGCCGCCCTTACCCCACTGCCGCCGCCGCCACAGTCACCCGGAAAGAGGAAGTCGCGCCGCTTCCGCCGCCAAGAACTCCCGCCGGGGTCTCGCGAGACCAGCGAGCCCAGCTGCTGCCGCCGGCTCCCCCTGGTGGCCGGCGGTCACAGCTTCGCCAGTCCTGCTCCTGCATCCTTTCTGCCGCCGTGCCTGGAACCGGAGCGATTCATCCTCCCCGGGCGTGCATGAAGGCAGAAGCCTCCAGCCAGCTTCCTCCCGCCGCCGGCCCGGTAGATTCGGTGCTGCTAAATCTTGCCAGGACACAGATGAATTTAGTCTCAAGGAAAATCATTCCCGGGGGAGGTGGTGGTGGTCGATATGAACCTAGCAGGGGGGTCAGCAGCAGTAGAACACTGGACCGGGTTTTGGGTTTATATGGAACAGTTTCTATAGTGTTGAGTTGCAGCAATGTGACAGCTTGACAAACGCCGGCCTCAGTGCCTTGACACATTCTATAGGCAGAGTCAGGAACTTTCAGCACTACCCTGCTCCTGCTGCACATCCAGTTCCAGTATGTTCTTGAGGCTCACTTGGAAGGGGGCATGAGCTCTTCCTTCCCAAAGATGTTGTGTGGCAGACACTAATGTAATAAGCAATATCAAAACTTAAGAGGAATCAGTTTCTTAACATGGCAGAGATACATAGTGCCCAAATTCATTGTGTTGTAACCCTTTACTGTTTAATCTTCAATAATTGCCTCAGACACTTATTTCAACGCTTGGTGAAGCAAGGCTAAAAGGAAATTAAAGAGAGGGTGGTAAAAAAACCCAGGTTATTTTATATACCAAGTGGCTCAGTGACTAAAGCCAAACCCAGCAAGTTCCAAGCACAGTCCACTCACCTCTCATTAAATAAGGGAGGTTGGGACAGTTGGTACTGTTCAAAACAGAGCACTGAATGTCCCGACATGACTCAGTGCTGATTACAAAAGAGCCTCATGTTAACTTTCTACACCGTGACCTGGCTTACAGTGATTTCATTGTGTGATAAGGCTTAGTTTGCTGAAACAATAATTAAAAACAACAAAAAAACCCCTTTTAGATTGATTTTGCAATAGTAGTGCAACAAGAAGCCCACCAAAACACAAGTTTTATTTTTAATTATAGAGCTTAATAGGCTAATATTTTATTAACATAAGGTTCCAAATTAGAAATGCCAAAACTCCTCAATAATCTCCACTGTAAAAATGCTAAAGATTTGTGCTTTAAACATTGCCGTAACATACTACAGGGCTATGTCCTCCCTCCCCTGCCCTCCTCTTCCTTTCTTCCCAGGACTATTGAGAAACACCTCATTGACATATTTCATCTGGAACCTCAGAACCCTGTTCTAAAGCAGATACTCATCACAGCCATTTTCATCCCAAACAGCTTGTGTATCACACAAATAAAAAACAACTTTAAATGAGAGATATACCAAAACTAACTACAGACATTACAATCTATGCTGCAGCTCTTTACAGAGCAGTGGTTGGTTAAGTACGTGATAAATCAGATGAAACACAAATATCTGATTTTTTTCTTACCCCATTTCCATATTTTTTCTTCAAAAATAATCTTCAGCAGTCCACATACTATCTAGAATATACCCAAGCACAGCTTTCCCTACAGTGAAACATTTTAACTCCACCACTACAAAGCATCCTATGCCACAGGTTCTCACCACATGGTGGAGTGTACCTTTAGAAAGAATAATTTAAAAAGGAAGTTCTAAATATTTTATTTCCTACTGGGGTGCCTTTCCTGGAAAACCATAAATACTTCTGTCAAAATACTGACTTGGAAGAGCAAAGACAGGAATATGGATAAACACCTCCAGTTGATGGTTTTCCTTCCACTATGGCTTGACAATATCTTTGTTTGTAATGACGTATAAAAGCATAACTAAGTTCATTTTGTCTCTAGAAAGTGTTTGAAAATACAAGTGAAATCTAGCGAGCCATGCATGCATGAGGCAGGACTGCCACAAGAGAAACCACCTCGCTTTCACATTTTAAGAGCAGATTCTTCTGTAAACACATGATGTAGCATCATTACATGGCCCAAGCCAGCCACGTCTGATGGACAAGCTTGCCACAACTTAGAGCAGACGCAGAAGGTAGCATTAACTTGGCAATACTCAAAGGCTTAGACGTGGTTTACAAAAGAAAGGTATGGACCATTTCTTCAGCAGGGTTTTGCCAGAACTTGAGTACAATTTTGTTTCCACATCTAGCAAAAAAAAAAAGAAGTGATTTATTATGTTATTTCAGTGGACATTTTGGCAGACAGAGCAGGCACACTGAAGTATGCATCTGTCATTTCCAAAAAAAGCCAAGCAATTTCACTGGTCTGGTTTAGAGAAGTGGCTTGCACTGCACAGAAGGCAGCGTTTTAATACAGACCGAGGAGGGAGAGAAGGGCAGAAATAACATGCCAGGGGACACAAGGGATTTGCAACAAGCTTTGCTTGTTTGTGTCTAAGACATCACACCAGGGAAGACATTTTAGAAAACTAACAGTATAATCCATTGCACTACAAAGGTCTTCTGCACAGCTCAGGAAAAGGGTGCACTGCTAAGATACGGATAGTTACATCCTTGTAATCCACTGGGTTCACAAGCTGTGAGCAAAGACTCAACAAATTCAGGAGGAAAAACCAGGACATTTTTGCTGTGAGCTTCAGCTGGCCACAGTGGATTAGAGGAAATCCTTCTGCCAGCAAGAGAGGCAATAGCAATGGAAAACCCGGCTCCTACTGGGCAGCTGCCTCTATCCAGTGGGTACCACTCGCAAGCACATGGACGCACACACCGAAATGAAGACAAGCATCTCATTTTCAAGTTGATTTTTGTAAATGGAAAAAAATGTATAAAATCTATCCATACATTAACAGATACAGGAAGTTACACAATCCAGTTTACACCTAAAGCAATAGCAATCAGTCCATAATAAGAACAGGGAAAAATTCCAATGCTGTAATTTGTCCAAAGTCACTACAGGGCAGAGGACAGCAGGGGACTGTGGTTGGCTTCTTCTTTTTGGCGTGTGGATAAACTGGCTACCTTCCCTACTTCCAAAGCAAAGAGACAATTCCAACAGACACGTATTAGGAATACTTTTGAAATGCATTTGACTCTATCATTAACACTGAATATTCAAAGATTCATATTATTACAGTATAATGTTTGCCTGCTTCTGCCTCCAGGAAAGGGCAGCGGGCAGTAGATACTATCCAAGAGAAATCCTGCACCCATCTTAGAATTTACAGCATTGATTTGAGATTTACTTTATGGTTTTTATCCATCCTGGAACACTTAAAATTTAGGTATCCTCAGCTCAGACATTTACAAAGCATGCGGAGACTGTTACTACTCAAGGAACATTTAGGAGGCTATGGAAAATGCGCTGGCGGGTATTGGTCTAATTTTAGTGAACTCGTGTCTACCATTACATGCAAGCCATACCTGGCAGTAGCTTTCCCTCCATTTACTGGAGGCCCCAGAAGACAAGGCTTGAATGAATGGGCATGGAAGCTCAGGTACCATTTTAAGGAATAAAACAAAACAGCTGCTAGCAGGGGCCAGCTTGTGGGAATGCCTGCCCTGCTACCGGTGTACCTGTGGGTGAACAGTGTCAGTCTAGGGCTCAGAAAAGATGCCTGACTGGATTTTAAAGGTAGAGGGAGGCACCTTAAACCCTGAAAAGACAGACTTCTGTGTTTGACAGGTGTATTCAATATGCACACATGAAGCAAGACAGTAAGCTGTGCTTATCCACCCGGAAGACTGCACCATTTTTCTGAACACAAAGAATATACAACCCTTTCCCAAAATAACAACAACAATAATAATAAAGCAGAAGTGCAGAATCCAGAGTGTTGGGTGGTCTGTGTTTCAAAAACATACGGAAGAATAAAAGCTAATGCCGTAAAGACAACTATTCCCTTTCAAAGCAAAGGCCACATAAAACTGTGTTGCTCAGTTTGGTTTTTTTACTTCATGCCACCTGTAAACACAAGACTGGATATTCAGTTTCTGGGAAGAAATGAAACCACTTTTACATTCAGAGTAAAAGAAAAGCCTTCCACTGCCTGGATCACAGATTACCCAGGAAAAGGTAGCTAGGGGAAGGCTTCCCCTTCTTGTTTGCTCATTTCATTAGAAAGGTCATATCTGAACAAAAGAGCTTTCAATAAAAGCACAAAACATTTCTTGATGTTATTTCTGCTGTCTCTAAATTTTGCTATGGGGACTAACATTTTCCATTCCTCACCAACAGATACATCATCACCTTTTTGGCAGCACAGGTGGAATTTCTTCCTAATGTATAATTTTTGCGTTATACAAAAGTCGATTGTCTAATCATGCAAATCCAACAGAATTCCAAAAAGTGCCACAAGACAGCTCAACTCTTTTCAATCTACTACCTAGTTTGTACACTGCCATAGGAACCTCCCAGAGAACAGACTGTCATCCTTACTTAGATCTGATGGTGTATTTCGTATATGGCATTTCAACCTCTTTCGGGGGGAGGGGGGAGACAATCAAAATCCATGCCCTGATTCCGTTGATTTTTTCACTCTCAGAGCTCTGAAATGCATGGAGATTTCTTTGATTTGTTGAAGAGGTCCTCACTGAACAGTCTGATCAGAGAAAAACTTACTGATTCAATCAAATAGAAAATAAAGACAAAAACAGGTAGTGGCAGATTTCTCAATCTTTGCTCCTATCCTTGGAGACTAGGGCAGAGTTTCACTGCTACTGCATTTTCCCCAGCTGGATCTTCTTCCAGGCCTCTGATGCCGTGAAAATGCAGGAGTCCAGGATCCCAGCTACAGTAAATGTTCCTCCAATGATGGCACATATCTGAAATGCACAGAGAGAGAACAGGTTTGTCAATGATGAGGCAAACTTTTACACAGCTGAAACTGGGGGAAAGGATTGCCTACTGCTAGGGTATTTTCTGGAAGCACGGTTAGAACCGGATAACAGTACTGGGGACGTAATTACATGACAATTATTCAAGAAAACCATTCCCTACAGTGGAATAACTTAGTGCTAATCTGAACTCATCATAGCCAGAGCCAACCATAAATCCCAGCCCCTAGGAGCATACAGCATGAGTGCTGTTCCTTTCTGGGCTAAA